GCAGTTGAGAAGCTTGCAATTCTCCTTGAAGTAATTTGATTGATGACGTTTTCTGGTAAAATAGTTTTGTCTTCAATTCAAAATCATTTCCACATATAAAAGCTATCTTCAAGTTTTGTACACCAAAAAACTTTTCAAATAAAAAGAAAGAAGTAACAACCCACTTATGGAGTACCATTAATAAGTTTATAAATACATTATACAGAGGTTAAGTATAGTATATTAAAACAATTTTGGAGTCTCACACGTCATAACAGTCCATGTCACCATGTCCATTCATGCTCTATCTGACAACCATGTATCTTACAATATCCCTACAGCATAGATTTCACTGCAAAATGTTTCATTGTAAGTCTCATGTCCAAAGCATACTATTCCTTTGTGCATGCTTTCCATTGGGTAGTATGAATACCCACTTCATTCTCCAGTTGTTTAATGTATGAAATGATTAAATGCATATGTTTTGGAAACAAACTGTGCATACTGCTGTCTAGGTTTTGTGGATGGCTTCTGCAACTGACCTATGTGTTTTTGGATTGTCTTGGTGCTCCAAGTTCATACATATTCCTTTGTTTTCCAATAGAACTACTCAATTAGTGGAATTTGATAATTAAAACTAATAATAACTGGAAACATTAATTTCGGTTAGCTGAACAATCTTGAAATATATAGTTAACTGCATAGGTGACAAAGATATCAAAATTAAAGAATACGTTAAACAATTGGCAAGTATTTTTATTTTAAGAGGATGATGTTTTGAGCTAGCAGATCATAGAGCTTACAATAAAGGTGCATGCACAGAATTAAGAAAATTGAGTGCGTAGCATTTTGAACATTAAGCATGAAATTTCTCTGTAAAATTACATCTTTTATATAAATATTACAAGCCATGAAAGGGTAAAACAGATTGAAATGAAAATTGAAACAAAATATGGAAAAAATGAGGATCTATAGGAAAGAAAAGTGTTCATTTAAACCAGATGGTTGTAGGGTCCCTAGACTGTAGATTAATCTCCTTTCCATTCATTCTCTTTTGTGAATGTCTTTTGTAGCACTAATAAGTCCCAGAATTAAAAAGTCCTCAACTGTATCGTTGTTGATTGTGAAATGTTTCCCTATAGGTGTATTTTTGTTCCACAGTTTAACATGATTTAGATGTTCTCATGCTCGATTACCAAGTTGGTAGGTAGCCTGTTAGTCCAATATATAAACTATTGCATTTTTGCAAATTATGCAGTAAATGATACATTCAGTGGCACATGTAAAGGATTGTCTTATGTTTAAAGTGGTGTTTTTTCCTCATGTGTGTGGTACTGTTTACATGTGGGCATGTGATACACCTAATTTGTTTACATATGTGAGTGCCTGAAGTATAATTTTGTTTACAGTTACTGTGCATCAGGATTTCTTTTAGGTTTTTGCCAGGTCTGTAAAAAATAATGAGTGGGTCCTTGAAAAGAAATTTAGTGGTAGGGTCTTCAGTAAGTATTGTGTAATTGTTTAGTATAACATCTTTGATCTTGTTGATTTTATGGTATGTTAACATAAGTGGAGTACAATCATGGTTGTGTCTTTTAGAAGAGAAAATTTTCATGTCTTTGAATTTTGATTTATAATCATTATCATCACTACATAGTTTGCATAGTAGTAGAAACTGTGATTATGGTATTGAATTTTTTGTTACTTTACAGGTGGAAAGATCTGAAATGTATGTCCGTGTGTGAATGTATTTCTTTGTAATGTATACTAGTGGTCAGATGGTCATCTTGTGTGTATATGTTAACGTCGAAAAAGGGAAGTGTTGTGTCGGATATTTCCCAAATAAATTTTAAGAAAGGGTGGAAAGAGGAATAATAGTGTAGAAAAGTGTCTAAATCTGATTTTGGCATGGATGCAATCCCGAGCATAGAAAACGTGTGCAAATTGAGATACGGTACAGGACACTAGTGAGGTCCACACTACTTCTGGAACAGATATTCTCTTTGCCCGGATATTTGTGAAATCTAAAACATGGGCAGTAAAGACCAAACGGCAACAGTATCAAAACCATAACACCATGAGAATAAACATGCAGGGAAGGACATGTATTCAAAACTGGTTCCTTCTGCAAAACCAGACTCATCTGGTCTGGAAATATTGTGTGCTCATGAGGGTTGTCCAGGCCCCAACCATGCAGACTAGGTCCCACAACTTCTCATTGGAATGATAGTCCTGTGGACCCAGAGCTAGACCCCAAGTGTAGTGGCTAGGGTATGGGGACTGCAGTGTGATATAATTATAATATAGTAACATGATATTAATGGAATCCAACCTGAAACTTACAGAGTATTGCATGTCAAACCACAAGAATTAGAAAGAGAAGGCAAGCAACAGAAACGTGGACAAATCCTTACCCCAACCTGAAGAAGCATGAAATGCAACAAACCAAACTCGGAATTATGGTCCCAGGAACCCATCCTGAAAGTTGCATGCAAGCCACCAAAATTATGAAGAGAAGGCAAGCAACACTTAAGTGGACAAACCTTCCCCTCAACCTGAAAAAGTACAGAATGCAACAAATTGAACTTGGAATTGCAGGTCCATTCACACCTCACTCAACCTAAAGAAAACAGAGATCATCCGGTCTGGGATTATGAGCCTAAATTGTAACTCCCCAACCTGAGAGGCAAGGCAACAGCTCCTGCCTCAGGAGTTGAGGGCCCGCTTCCATGATCATGGAAAGTGATATAATGACCAAGAAAGAAGGGCCATTGTCAACACAACTGACAGCAAAGTGTCATCTCTAAACCAGAAGTATGAGGAGGTTCCTGCATAGGCTGGTCCTGTTCCCACCAGACATCTAGCAAAACCATCCAGAGTTATGGGTGGGAGGGTATTCAGCTTTGCTCTCTTCTCCTTGAGTGAAATAAAGTGTTCAAACAACACTCAGGAGGAACAGATCTTTGTTCACCACACTAGCAACTGGAAACTATGGAGAAATAGGGGGAGAATTTGTGTTGGGGATTCCTAAGGAACGATGCTCAGGAGATCGTGCAATAGGTTGACCATGTTCCCTATTTTGAAAAGCAAACCAACTACAGTTTATTCAATCCAGGAGTCAGCAGAGATGAGCAAAATCCTTATATGCTTTACTCATGATAGTCCATGAGTGGAAGTCCAGTATTGTATATTATGTATGGTAATGAATAATTTTGTAACACCCGGAAAGTGCCAATGTGGTCTTATGGAACACCCATCTCAGAGCTTGTTGCTACCAGGAATTTTATTTATTAGTCTACTGGTAGCTAGTAAGGATTTAGAAAAAGCATACCTGACCAGGCAACACCTGCCACTGAGTGTGATCTAAATTATACTGATTTTAAAAGTCCATGAAAAGGAATAGAATAACATAGAAGAAATGAAGTTATTCACCCCTGTCACAATCAAGCTGGAGTGTATAGAATAGCCATGGGGTGTTAATTAGGATGGCACCCAAAAAGTCATTCCCTGATGTCATGCAATGGATTGCATAAAAGCCAAGCGTGAAGTCAAAGAACATTGACTGCCGGGTGAAAAAAGTCTGACAGATGCTGATATACGAGAGATGGTCAGAGAGGGAGGGTAAGACGTTGACACTCCTGAAGATACTGGAGGAGTGGAAACTAAGACTGACCTGGCCAAAGTGGTGCCACCAGAAAAACTCGACAGGACAAGGAGAGAACCAGTGCAAGAACCTTGAATAACAGACAAATTTGAGGGAATGTGTAACAATGAAAATCTGTCCAATCCTGGCTGAGAGCATCTATGCCCAAAGCCAGAGGGTAAGGTACAGGAGACCAGAAGGATGGGAATTGAGCATTCCAGTATGTGGCAAAGCATCAATCTGAGACGTTCTGAGACAAGAGCAGATCCAACAAAAACTTGAGGATCAAGCATCCATTCTGTGGGAAGAGCTCTTTTGGGACAAGATAATTGGTCAGCAATTAAATTCATTATACCTGGAATATGACAAGCAAGGAGAACGATCTGATGTTTGTATGCCCAAAAGGGAAAATACAATGTTCGAAAGCAGAGAGATATGGAGTTCCTCCTTACTGTGAAATGTAGGGGACAACTGTGGAATAGTCTAAGTGAAACATTATCACCGTCTCTCACAACAATCTGATAACTGCTAGAAGTTCCAATAGATTGACATGAATAGAAGTTTCCTCTTCTGTCCAAAGGCCTGTGAATTTCATATTCTCCATACAAGTGTCCCAGCCTTGGAGAGAAGCATCTGTGAAATAATGTATCTCTGTCCAACCACCAGCCAACATCTTGCAAACTGTAATGGTCTGCATGTGAGCCCGACCTAAAGAAATGAGTGATTCCAAGGATGTCTGAAGGTATAAAGGAGAAGGTTGGGACTGATTTTAGTCTGGTATTGAAAAACACTCCTAAATGATTGAGGTACTGTGACAGAGTAAAAGACTTCTCCTTTCTGATAAAAAATCCAGCTCTTGCAGCTTCTGCAGAGATTGAGTGTGAAGTTCTGCCAAGTAATGGGAAGGGGTGAGAAGAAACCAGTCGTCCATGCAATGGTGAATGTGAATTTTGTCATCCATAGACCGGGTGAAAAGAGCCATTGAAGGGAAAGAAATGACTCCATTGTAAGCTGAGGAGACTGGATGAAGCAACTGAGACAAGAAAGATCGATGACGGGTTGCCAATTGCCCGTCTTTTTTGGTACTCGAGATAGGAGTCAACGAGCTCTATGGCCTCTTGTGCCAAAGATCCTAGATTGCTTGAGCTCAATGGTTGGATAAAAAATGGTTGAATGACCAAACCTCTCCTGAGAACTTAAATGATCCACTGATCTGTGGTGAAGGTCTCCCATACTAATAAGAACCCTCTGAGTTGAAACTCCACATGAACTGACCCTATAAGTGAGTTACCAACACCGTAGTCTGCATTCCACCCTAGGGGGAATGCCAGCTGGTAAGGTCGGAAAGCCCTTGTGTTACTATTGATCATGGCACCAAAGCCGGGGGTCTAGAAACTCAATTGGGAGATGCAGGAAACTATCCTGTAGAAGATCTTTGGGACAGTCTAGAAGCTAGGGTAGAAAAAGAAAAGTGGAGATGGACCACATCCACTTGAGATTCCATGAATTTGGGAATACTGGCAAAAATAGACTGTCTGAGAAAAGAAGCTTCTCTAAGATATCTAAAGGCCCGAAGCAGGATAGCAAACTCCCTCCAGCAAGGTACCTCTCTTTAAAAAATCCCAACAACAAATCAACCAAGATATCAAGGAGAGAGCAGAAGCTGATAACCTGACCAAAGTATAAGTCAATAAATTACTAAGATAATTCAAAAATTGCTCAGGAGATCTGTGATAATCCTCAGACAAAAGTTGCAAAGATGATAAAAAGAGCAAAGACTGTTGTAAGTGACAGATGAATTCTGTAAAACTGAGATTAATTAAGGCAAACCATATCATCTTGTCTAGAGCCCCAAATAGAAAGAAAGAAAAAGGATCCAACAAATGTGAAAGACAAGGCATAGTAGCACCCTCTCTCAAATGATCAGCAAATTTCCTCGCATACACAGCAGTGTCTGGTGACGTTGGAAGGACCAGGTAATTAGAGGAACAATTTTCCCCCAATAAAGTAGAAGATTCATAAGCTACAGGAGAAATACCTAATAACATTACAACTTGGCATTCTAGTTAAAAAAAAAAAAGAACAGGAGGTGGAATGACTGAGCAAAGAAAGGTACAAGAAAATCTAAAGTCTCACCCGTCTGCCCTTGATCTGCCACATGCAAGATTCCACCTCTGTGTATAAAAACTGTATGTCCTCCATGGAATAACAATATTAATATTTATCACAAATATCAATCTTTATATTATGCTTCATATTGACTTTTGATTATTCAGATACAGCATCTAAAACTTTCAAGTTCACTTTTGCTGATTTAACTTTGTGTGAGCTAATAGTAATTTCGTTTTTTCTAAAGGTTATACTCAACTTTTATGACACAATGATGTTGTGACTTCTTTTGGATAGTTTGAGTAATTTTCTCTATCTCTGAAGCACACAAGTCCTGAGTTTTAACTGATTAACTGTAAAGCTCAATAAAATGCCTAAATTGATCCTTACTCAGTAAAATTAATATAAATGTAATGTTTTCAAAATAATAAGTTTGTGTATAGTAACAGAAAGGCTTCTGTTTTTACGTGTAAGTATATTACACATGTTATTTAGACCTAGCATTGCAACATGATGCTAATCTCACAGACCATTAGGTATAGCCTAGTTTATGATTTCAGACACTGGAATATACTTTTCCATGCACTCAATTGTCTTACCTTTGATATCATTTTCTGCTTTACTATTCTCTTCCATGAGATCTATGGAGTCATATTGCTCAATATCTGACATACTACCATTTTCAACTATGGCTTCCTGCTGCTCAGTGACATGTTTACTAGTTTTTGTGACTCTTGTCACATTTTCACTGGAAGAGGTTCCTGTTGAAAGCTTTTTAAAAGGAGACCTTGAATGTAAAGTATTTTCGCATTTTTCATTCTTGAATTCTAACCTTTCTGGCAATTTCTGGTTATATTCAACTGTTCTGGGTCTTAACAATTCTCTTGACTGTTGGGCTCGAACTGGAGTTTTTATAGCAAATGGATTGACAGCTCTGAAGATTGAATAATAAAAAAACAATTTATTTAAAAAATGTGAAACACTTATATAAAAATTTTTCAATTTAAAGTCAGTTTTTAAAAAAATTTAGAGAACGAGGGGAAGGGTAATCCTTATTAGTGATAAAGCAAAATTTACACAGACAAGATTCTCCTAAATCTAGTCTTAAAGATTTTTTAGTATTTTGATATTACTTTATGGTGATGACAAACACACTTTTTTGCTTTAATACTACATACTTTTGATCAATTTCTGGGAAATAAACTTTTGTAAACAATTAACTAAAATGAAAAATTATTTACATAAATCTGCTTTATGCATTACATATTTAATTATTATTCTATATTTTGGCAATTTACCCAGCTTAGCCAATGATATACTTCATTGACAGTTAAAACAAGTTTAAACAATACACCAATAGAACATTATTCAAATAACTTTATTCATTCTTATCCCGCAAACAGTTGGCATTATGAAACATTATCTTCACTTAAAAAACATTACTATTGTCCAAAGTAAAATACATTTATGCATTTATTTTTCATCATCATCTAATATAAAAAAGAAAATGTATAAAATCTTAAAACTATGAAGCTGCTCAAGGATGCTTAAAAATTATATGGATAATGGTGTTTCAAAAATATTTGATTCAGAAATATTAAACATTAAGATAATAAAACTAAAAATACCAAATATTATATTTTTACCTTTTTAACTGAGGGCTTACTTGATGACATTCCTTTTTCTTTAGTATAGTTGGTTTAGGAGAAACTGCAGAGGAGCCTATACTACCACTGTGAACTTCATCAAGAATACTACCCAATAGTTCATCATCATCCAGTTTCACCTCTTTCTGAAATCACAAAAAAATAAAAAACAATCTTTAATTTTCTTCTTTCCAAAGAAAAATGAATTAACCCTTCAAGTAAGCTTCACCTTAATTTCTAGTCTAGGGCTTGATCTGTATACTATTATCATAGCTCTCCCTTAGACAATTGACCCTGATTTACAAAAGTGCATATTAACATTGCTAATCACAAAATTACCAAATCTCTAACAGAACTTTTAAAGTGACAACCAACCATAAAGTTTTAAAAGTACTTTGAACTTTAATTTTTGTATGTATTTTAAATCACATTATTAAAAGCACAATAAAAATAATTTCAAGTTTATGCATGACCCTTAAAATATAAAACAAAGCAGTATTAAGATTTATTGATGGTCAGGATTTTGAGGGATACGCTCTAAATGTTATATTCACAAAATGGGTAGATAAGTTTCTCTCTCTCTCTCATAAGACAAATTTTGGACTTTATTTCAGCAGCAACAAGTTTAAGTTACTCTAATCAGGCTTGTATGTAAGTTCTTTGCACTTATATTGTGTCAGTTTGTGACATGCAAACATATATGTTTTCTACCTGATTTAGTGATAGATGAATTTTAAACATTTTTTTCATTTTAGTTTGTATGCAGTTTAGCATAACATAGTCCAGAAAGTCATTAAAATTACCTCATTCTAGTTGCTTTGTTTTTGTTCTCTATAGTAGATAATGTCTATTCTGTCCCAGAGGATATTGTAGTAATATACATAATCCATGTTAAAAAGGTTAGCAAATGTATTATTCTTTGCTGGCTGAATCAACAATGTGTATGTTACTGCTGATCAATGTACTGAGAAAACAAAGGTCACGAGGGACACTGTCGACTAGACAAAGAAATCAAACTTATTTGTAGAATTCAGGTGTTGTTAAATACCTACCTTGAAGTCAACAAGTATAATTCTATCTGTAAATCAGTGTGTTTAGTTCTACAGATGTCTATCTTGACAGAAAAAAGCTGTAAACTAATCACAACCAAGTAAAATTGACTATTGTTTTGTGTGTGCAAGTACTTATGCTGCATTTTCTTTTTGTTTATTTCACAATAAAAGCTGTTAATTTTGTTAAACTTGCCCAGTCTCATTGTTTCATACACAATGAAAACATAGTCATGTTATTAAACACAGATCACTCTCATTGTTTCCTTAATGAATCTACTATTATTAGCAAATTTAACTGTCTAATACTTGTTGGGAATTCAGTTTCAAATTGAAAACACTGCAATGTCTTAGTAATATTGAACAACATCAAATAAAGGTAACAGGAACCATTTAATCCTTCAAGAATGTTCCTGAAAATCCACCCTCAAGTAAACATAAAAAATAAAGCCCATCATTCATTTTTCAAAGATATAAGTAATTCCTGTAAAAGATTGATGTTCACTACTGCTAATAGCAACTAGTTCCATAAGTTAATCACTCTGCTAAAAAATAAAATTATCTAATTGGAACCTAGTTTGTTGTTTCCAAATCTTAAACTTGTGTCCTCTCATCTTCTTGTCATCATAATTAAGCACAAAGAAATCAGAAGTCTTTATAATACAGATCTTTCATATAAACTTGTAAACTTCAATAAGATCACTTCTTACCCTTCTTTGTTTAAGAGAAAATAAGTTAAGGAATATTAGTCAATTGCTATAATATTTACACCCTTGAACTTATCCTAGCAAACTTCCTATAAATCCTTTCCAATAACGTTTTGGGACAACATGGGACCTATTGGTCCATCTCGGCTGTTCCATCCTCTAAACTAAATTAAAATGATTT